AGCAACATACATGAACTTGGACCACCCGTATCCTGGGTAGTTGTTTGGGTAGACATAAACTAATCAAGAAATGTTGCTATTCTTTATTCTCGTTTAGAATCAGAACACTGCCTTCCATTCCCAACAGAGCCTAGTCCACATCCTTCCACAAGTGCAACTACAGTGGCGCCACCCATGAACCAAGCCGGAGAGCATTGTGCAACATACTCGTCAAACTATGACAATGACAAACGGTGTACAGGCACTGCTGAAATTGATAGAGAACAATATTTATGTAACTAGCAGTAACAATGCACTTGCCTGGCCACCCAAACCGAGGACGGTCTGTGTGTACACTGCTATCAGCATGAGCAGCTTTCTGTGCCAACAAGTGCAGCTGCACTAGGCTATATCTCCTCTTGAAACATAATCATCATAATAGTCACATAGGTTCATTACAACGAGGCCAACATCTGTGCCATTCCTGTCTACCCATAAAAGCCCCAGGCCTAATGAATTAATGATTACATTTTCATCCTTGCTTGCTTCAATACAAAAACAAAAAAAATGGTGATTCAGCAGTAGAAACTAACAGTTTTCATCCACTAGTCCTTATAATGATAACATATAGCAAAACCCTTAAAAATGGCACATTTCTACTCGTCCTTATGATACCTTAACTATTGGGCAGTTTGGCAAGGACTATAGGACTAGTGCCAATATCTAATGCTGTGATTCCAGGTAAGAATTAAGTCCCAAACATCCTCTGCTTGTCACAGTGAGTGAGTGAGTATGGTTTTACACCACTTTTAGCAATATTCCAGCAATATCACGGCGGGGGACACCAGAAATGGGCTTCACACATTGGACCCATGTCGGGAATCGAACCCGGGTCTTCGGCGTGATGAGCGAACGCTTTAACCACAAGGCTACCCGACCGCCCCTCTGCTTGTCATAAACCTCACTTGACTGGCCTTGTGACTATCTTGACTGTATGTTGTGATGCCTCACTGGCGTGGGTCAGTGATGGTTTCACACACAAGTTTGCCTTATTTACAATGATGCAGCTGGAATATTGATGTCTGCAGCATTAGACAACTTTCACTCACTCACATGAAAATATCAGCTTCCACATTTGTAGATGTCTTAGTGTTTCAGGCACCCGAGTATCGTGATTAACCTTACACCAAGCTCAGAAAAATAGGATCCTAGGGCTCGCTACACTACATAAAGATTACGCAAATCTGGAAAGGAAGTCTTCTTTTTGCAACTCGTGGCGTATAACTGGAGAAGGCTGCTTTCTGATTGGCTTATGTCGACTTCCAGTTTCATTGTTATTTCTCTGGTTGGTCAAAGGTTGACCTTACGTGATCTGTAAGGTCCTCCGATCTTTGTGCGGCAGTAGCGATTTTAGAGACTGACCTTATACTTATGTTGGAATATAGTATTATATACCCACAAAGCATCCTCTAGATGCTTCGTGATCAATATTTTAGGCAAGCAGTTTTTACTGTGACCTTGACCTTTGACACTCTCATAACATGCCCCCCTAAGCCACGTGCACATCTCCATATGTAAATTTTCTTGTTGGAGAAGATTGCCAGCAGCAACAGCGCATTTCTGACAAAACTCTGAAAGCATGCTTGTTTCTCAAGGCTTCTGAAGTTTACTGTCCTAATTCTACATGTCACTCGTGTGTTCTTACAAGATTTACAAATTCAAACACTAAAACACGCACTACCTTGGAGTGTTAGAAACTAACAGGTTTCGTCCACTAGTCCTTATAATGATAACACATGGCAAAACCCTTAAAAAGGGCACATTTCTACTAGTCCTTATGATACCTTTACCATTTGGCAGTTTGGCAAGGACTACAGGACTAGTGCCAATTTCTAACGCTGCCTTATAACTTACCCTTTAACTAATGTTTACTGTCCTAATAAATATTATAGTCTCAAGAAGAGATAAGCAGCAGAAATTCATATTTTATAAAATGGTATTTTATGTATATCAGAAACAGAATATGCAATGACTGCTTCCTGTGCCATGGAAAGGTCAGATATCCTGAATTCCCATCTTGGATACAATCTGAATTCTTGAGCAAAATTGATCTTGCAATGGAATTTAATTTTGAACATACTGAACTTTCATGACGCAAAAGCCATGACTTTTAATCCATGTTGACGTTTTGCATCGTATTATTCAATAGCTATCACAATGTTTGCCCATATTGTTCAACAAAATTGCAGTCAGTGCCAAAAACTTCGGAGTCCATGGGCCAAACTTGGCTCCCAGCATCATTTTTAGTATATGATAGTGTTATATGGATTTTACCAGTTTATCTTACTAAACCGAACAGACGCTTTCTGGACATGGGCTTTGGACTTTTGGCTGAAGTGGTAGACTTATTGAGATATGATAAATTTGGCAAAAGCTCAAATCATGGTAGTCATGCGAATTTCGTTATGCATATTTCATCATGTGACGTTGACCTTCAGTGCCAACGAATCATATGCCAGAACATTTGTATAAGCAAACATTGGAGTTGTCTTGCAAACATAAAGTCTCCACATATTACTGTCAATATTTCAGAATCACAAATCCTTGACCTCTTTGAACAGCGGGTCAATTACACATTTACAGTAGCATGAGTGAGTGAGTGAGTGAGTGAGTGAGTGAGTGAGTGAGTGAGTGAGTGAGTGAGTGAGTGAGTGAGTGAGTGAGTGAGTGAGTGAGTGAGTGAGTGAGTGAGTGAGTGAGTGAGTGAGTGAGTGAGTGAGTGAGTGAGTGAGTGAGTGAGTGAGTGAGTGAGTGAGTGAGTGAGTGAGTGAGTGAGTGAGTGAGTGAGTGAGTGAGTGAGTGAGTGAGTGAGTGAGTGAGTGAGTGAGTGAGTGAGTGAGTGAGTGAGTGAGTGAGTGAGTGAGTGAGTGAGTGAGTGAGTGAGTGAGTGAGTGAGTGAGTGAGTGAGTGAGTGAGTGAGTGAGTGAGTGAGTGAGTGAGTGAGTGAGTGAGTGAGTGAGTGAGTGAGTGAGTGAGTGAGTGAGTGAGTGAGTGAGTGAGTGAGTGAGTGAGTGAGTGAGTGAGTGAGTGAGTGAGTGAGTGAGTGAGTGAGTGAGTGAGTGAGTGAGTGAGTGAGTGAGTGAGTGAGTGAGTGAGTGAGTGAGTGAGTGAGTGAGTGAGTCAGTGAGTGAGTCAGTGAGTCAGTGAGTCAGTGAGTGAGTCAGTCAGTCAGTCAGTCAGTCAGTCAGTCAGTCTTTAGAACAGTATTTCAGTCATATCAGATTGATGTGGGAGGAAAGCCTGAAGTGATGCAGCTCTTTGATGTTTTCCACTTTGGTAAAACCCACAAGCATGCTGACAAGCCAAGCCAAGCCAAATAATAAGGGCAAACAGGAATTAGAACTCACGTTCACCCATGTGCAGTAAGGGGCACAAGTGGGACTAAAATTAAACTTCATTGACAAAAATTCTATTTGAATGGGTACAGGATACAAATGACAAGTATTGAAATTTGAGTGTAATCATTCCACTGTAGTTCTTATATGGGCACTTGGTTAGTCAATATTTAATACAAATGAAAACTACTACTTAATTTCATCTCAGCAAGTAATATGTCTGAGAAAAACTTTACACCACTTTTAGCAATATCACAGATGACACGAGAAATGGGCTTCACACATCGTACCCATGTGGGGAATGAAACCTGGACCCCACCTGAGCCACCTGATGCACCAACTAGAGCATGTAGAGGTGGGACCATCTACACGGATGTATCACGATGCTTCACTGTAAATTTTTGTTGACCTATTTTATCTTTCATCATGGATTCATGAGGTATTTTATGGTTTGACTCAAGCGACCCGGACGTTCATGGTTAATTTTGAATACTGATAATCTTGAATTAACTTCTTCCTGTATCATGTTTGTTTGTTTGCTGCACTGAGAGGCAACCAACGGGATCAGGTGGACAGGCTTGGTGACTCGGTTGATGCATGTCATTGTATCCTAACTGCTTTGATCAATGATATGATGTCCATCACCCGATTGTCTGTTTCAGTCATATTGCTGAGTGCTGCGATAAACAAACCACACAAACATATCACCTCCAACCAACAGAAAATACAAGTAACATACAAACACAAAGATTGATAATTCTTCTACAACTATTCATAGTAGACCTAGGAACCATCCATGCTCCCCAAATCATTCTTTTTACCCCAATAATAATAACTATAATGTGCACATTCATAAAGCACCAAATCCATGCCCTAAGCGCGCTCAAAGCGCTACATTATTTCCCTGTCCAATGGATCAGTGTGCACTCAATTTTCATTCTCAGCTCCCTGAGGAGTATACAACAGCTGCCTGTGAGGCGCTAGGAGGGCAACAACAACATTATAATCTCATCCTACCTGATACCCATTCACTTCTGGGTTGGGGGCGGCCGGGTAGCCTAGTGGTTTAAGCGTTCGCTCGTCACGCCGAAGACCCGCGTTCGATTCCTGACATGGGTACAATGTGTGAAGCCCATTTCTGGTGTCCCCCGCCGTGATATTGCTGGAATATCGCTTAAAGCCACGTAAAATCATACTCACTCACTCACTGCTGGGTTGACAGAGGCACATTTCGAACAGTCGCTTGCCTATTGAGCCACCACATGTGCTCCAAGTACTTAACTTTAGTGCAATGAATGTGCATGTATATATTCTGCTCATGTAGAGATGACTAAAACACAAGTTATAGACAATACATTTTAATTGCTTTTTGATAAACAAACAAAACTTACTCAACGATTATTTGAACAATGAAATAATGAAAATGGAATACTAACAGGTAACAAAATGCTGCAAACATAAACTATCTTTATAACAAAGCAGAGACAAAAAATCAAGCAGTGGACCAATCTAGCTCAATACTTGCAAGATTTCTAATTCAGAGAAAGAGCAGCATTCATAGAAATCAAATTACCAACATAATGTCAGAAAAATACAATACAATAAGCAGATAACAATCATTTTTTGACAAATATTAATGTACCTCTTATTTACAAGTATATTTTGTGCTTGAAACACATGCTGTCCGTGTGACTTATTACCAGAACTGATAACTTAATAGCAAATGTAGCATTGTAAACATGGTGAAGCCATCCACTTTATCTCACATATTTAACATGTTTTGTTTGTTGTAGCCGCACTCAGCAATATTCCAGCTATATGTTGGCGGTCTGAAAATAATCTGGTCTGGTCGAGACAATCCAGTGATTGACATCTTGAGCATCGATCCACGCAATTGGGATCGATGACATGCATCAACAAGTCAGCAAGCCTGACCACCCAATCCCGTTAGTCGCCTTTTACGACAAGCATGGGTTGCTAAAGACCAATTCTAACCTAGATCTTCACAGGGCCATTGAAGATGTTGTTTCTTTGTTGCTTAATGCCATACTCTGCTATATGACAGCAGTCCGTAAATAATCATGTCGGGGCCAGACAATCCAGTGATTGACTTCATGTGCATCAGTCTTCGCAAATGGGATATGATGACAATAAAGTCAGTGAGTCAGACAATCCAATCCCATTGATCACCCTCATAAAACAAGCATGGTCTGCTGAAGACCAATTCTAACCTGGATCATCCCAGGGCCATTCGAGACGTAATGGATAGTAAATACTGCTGTTGATGAAATATACATTACCTTTGTTTCAAATGATGACAAACTTAACAATGTAAATATGGAGACATGACTTATGAAATTTTTTGAACACGTTACATCTTTATAAAAATATGATAAAGTTGTCATGGGGGAATGAATATCAGACAACTGTCTTAAGTACAATTCCTCATTAGTAGTTAAAATGTTGGAGATGAAATGATGACAATCTAGCCCTGATAGGTTGAACACTTTCAAGAGAGTACATGCCATTGTTATCAGTAGATATAGTCTTGTAAAAATGTAAAATATGAATCTTTAAGCAATAATCATTATGGATAATAGAGGGGAAAAGTGCACCTGATGTTCATTCATGAAATTCAGAATGTAAACAGTCATTCAGGGGTTAATAATTCTTTTTGTTATTTAGATTCTGGATTTGTGTGGAAGGCCAATCATGTTTTGGGTCACATATACGAAACAATTAACTATAAAAAAATCATTGCCTTTGATGTTTGTTTTAGATTTGTGTATTCACATGATATTTCAGCCATCAGATGGTAGCTTGTGGGTGAGTGAGTTGGGTTTAACACCGCTTTTAACATTATTCCAGTTATATCACGGCGTGTCAGCTTAATGTGGGAGGAAAGCCCGAAGTGATGCAGGTCTCAGACGTTTACCACTTCGGTTAAACCCACGAGCACGGGTATGGTGCTGACAAACCTAGAAACATAATCGGGGCGAACCGGGATTCGAACCCACAATCATAGGTTTCTGGCATATCCAGGGACGCAACTCTGCACAGCGAATTGCGGCGCCTTAGACGACTAGGCCACCCGTGCCCCCTGGTAGCTTGTGATTGATGAAGAAAATCATTTTGAGTAAACAATAATAATATTCATAAACCACAGTAATCAAACTAACAGGTATGTAGTGATTCCAACAAGAAAATCGGGTAGGTAACCCATAAATGTTGCCTGCCCATCTTCAAATTCTACCTGCCAACATTCAGACATTATTAAATATTGAAAAATCACAAAAAATAAGAGAAAAATCGCATCTTGAGTCAGTTGAAACAATGCTAACAATTATTTGAGAATCTAGGAGGAGTTATAATAAAACTGAATACATAAGTTGGCTTAAAATTATCTTCCAGACAGTGGAGCAGGTAGGTGACAATTTACCAGCCACAGGCAGGCAGTTATTTCAGACACTGATTACCAAGATTAGTTCAGACCAATATGGAGTCACTGACCTCTATTAAACCCCTACTAATCAAAGACACAATGTATATGGTTTCATATTGTTCTAAACTGTACCGGATTGTGATTAGTTTCGCTGTAACCTTTACTCAGTCAACAAAATTACATGCCTCAAGATTAATAGTTATTTGTAATCCTCAACAAAACCTGGGCCAATTTTAAAATTAAAGTGATTGCTTGCAGATGATAAAAAAAAACAATATCAAGTGTACGTTCCAATGCCTGAATTGATTTTATACAGATCAGTTTGATTTCAACACAAAATGCTGAACACTTTTAAAAATGTCTATTGGAATGGTATTGCAATCGGCTAAACAAATGCCATGTTTGTTTTAGTGAAAATCAGGCCCTTTCTCAAAGATTTACTCAGAGCCCCAGCCATTACAAAAAGGCAATTTACAGCATACTATATATATAGGATTATGACATATGCATCTGTTAATAATAGCTTGGCATCAAAAGAATAGACTGAATGAAGAGGCTTGAAAGAAAATTTAAGGTTTCAGAAGTTCATAATAAGCATTTTGGCCAAGAAAGCGCTTAGAAATGAACACGATAAGAGCTTTTTAATAGAACTGAATTCCCCTTTCTATCAGTTAATTCTTAACAGTTGAATCATGTTGAATGCATGAACAGATCAAGCAAATCTCTATAAAAACTTGCATTGACCCATATACCTTTTTAAGATAGACATCCTCTCAACACTGTCAATTGATGAAACTTTGTAGACAATTGTCACCAAGACATTAAAATTTCAAGATCACAACAAGTACAAGCCTAAACAAGGGAAATGAAAGAGCAAAGGTATATAACTAGTAATAGCACAAAGGATGTAATCAATGAAGCAGATTACTGAATCGAACAAGGCAACAACGTTATAACATGATTGGTGATGAAGTACGGCGAGTGTTAGGTAGACGTTGATCTTGGTATTCTTGTGGCTTCAGTCACATGTCCTGCTGCTGTAGCAACGCATCCTTGACCTGGCAGGCTTCAACTGCCACACAAACCCCAAACGTGGATGTGTGGTCAGTAATACAACAGCGACATGTTTAGTATGTACAGAGCGTGTTTCAGGGTTGCTACTCCTGGCCTTACATTGTCCAACTTGGGTTCAACGGGTGCTCTCCCTGCCTCACAAGCCATTCACAAAATAGCACAGCCTCAGGCTAACTTCACCGGCAAGTCAATCACACTTATTCACAGCACCCAATGTCTGAAGCATTACCTGCCGTCAACACTTCTCTTTCACAAGCTTGGTTTTTTACCAAGAGAACATTTTCAAGTTCTACACACGTCACAATGTATCAATGTTTTTAAAAAATTGTTTTAGCGGCAGTGAAAACAGAACACCTCAACAGCTAGCATAAAACACTTCTTTCTGATATTTGTAAATACACTGATATTTCTTGATACCATGATGAAGGAGACAATTTAACCACAAAAGAAAACCCATAACAAGTCCCATTAAAATTCATTCTTTGGTACGAACTGTATATAAAAACGTGTCACTGTGTTTATGTATCTCGCTCTTTCTTGATTTTCAATTCCTTGAAATCTTCACCAAGAATTGTTGCAATCTCACCTTGCATGAAAGCCCAAGGAACATTTGACCCAGCTAGGGGGCACTTTTTGCCACTTGGGCAATACACTTCTGCCCCAGCTCCTTGACGTTTGATGCTGTCTCTTGAGCAAGGAAAACAAAACTTGTGTTCACCAACAGAGGGACACTGAACAAAGTGTGTATCCTCTAGTCTTTCATGACACAAAGTACATTTTAAGGTTTCTGAATTTGTGACTGTTGATTCGGGCATTGTGCTACCAACCCCTGCGTCAGACACAGGCCCCTGAGCCACTGAGCGACCACGAAACAAGTGCTGGGTAGCTGGGGAATGATTATGTCTTTGTCCATGTCTAATTCCACCCTCACTCCTAATTGGCGACCCACCTGGAGTAATATTGTCAGTCACTGTCATCAGTGCCGCCATTGGCGATGGGCCATTCTGTCCACTTCCAGCTTCAGGAGGGGTTGGGGTGTGATTACTCATGGGTGACATTGATGTTGAGCTTGGCATCCCAGAGCTATATGCAGCAGAATTTATAGTAAGTTTTAAAGCTTCCGATTGATTTTGCATCCACTGTTGACGTTTAAATTGCTCTTCTGACAGCTTACCTCTAACTTCCCCCTCAGGATCGGGTGAAGCCTTGCGTTTCCTTCCCTCATACATAGACCGTGGAACAGGGGGCTTGGGTGTCCCCGCATGACCCCTCGATAACGATGAGGGGCTGGGCAGTGGTGGAAGGGAGCTGTCAACATGTGGGGTGGGGATCATATCCTTCTTGACAGGCTCCTTGAATATGCGCACTAACTCTGGCAACATATCACCAAGTAATCTCCAGTCACCACTTCCATGTTTCATTTCATACTCAAGATACTTGAAACCCGAAGATAATCCCTTTATACCAAAGTCCTTCATGCAGTCCTGGTACATTTGTTTGGCAACCCCAGAAGCACTGCTGTAAATTGTCCCTGATCCCAAAGGATACTCAGCATACATTTTTAAGTCATACTCTGCACCCTGTTTGATACTTGCGTCAAAGGCAAACACACGTCCACACAATGAATGTTCTTTCTTGAATCTTATCTCAAAAGGCACTGCAGACGACAACACTGCCACAGTCTCACGTACAAGTAGTGGCCTCAGGGCTGGATCGTCTATTGGTCCCATTTTGTTTCCATTCTCATCACTACTTGAATGGTTGGAACTTTCTTCCTCCTCCGTTTCCCCACGCTTACCGTTGATAGGGGCTGGGTGTGGCATGGGCATCGGTCCTAGCCCGTGGGGATGCCTACCTGGGGGGAGGGGGCCAGGAAATCCTTGGTGAGGGGGGAGGGGCCCTCGCGGAATAGTGGGGCTTCCCCGCTGAAGATCGGAAAGTTGTTCGTCTGGTCTATGCATAACATGTCCCACAGCGATTCCATTGATTCTTGGCCCTGGGGTGTATTCCATAACATTCCGGTATCTGTCTGGTGGTGGGGGACCGTGGTGTATCCGCGGGGGTTCCAAGTGTGCGTCGGGATGGTGACGAGGTGGCATATGTCCGTGCGGCGGTGGCTGCCCCTGTTTGACAGACGATCGCCCTTCTTGGAATCCATGAGCACGTTTCATTTGTCTCGCTGCTTCAATGACCATTTCTATACGATCTGGCCCTTCATAGTTGACACATCCCCGGCACACAGATTCGGAGAAATCATGTAACATAGCCCATGGTGTCCTGGGCAGATCGCACAGGTAGCAGTGCTGTCTGTGGGCTCGGTGCGGCATTGACATGGTGTTGTGGAAATCCTCAGCGACAGAAAATGTCTAAAACCACCTCACACTAGCATGAACACTCCATTCGAGCATTGCGCGAAGTCTGAGCATGTGTCATTGATACCTTCGCTGTCTGCGAAAGCCCACACCGATCAAAGTCTCCGTCTCTCTCTCTCACACACACACAGTCAATGCCGCCAACTACTTGAAATCTCATACAAGGTTGCGCTACGACAATGCGCATGCGCAGCCAATTGTAAACGAATACCTCTCGTTGTAGCTTACTCACGTGTGTGGTGTTTCTAGATCACGCAACACACACTGTCAAATTACAATGGAATTCGATAGTCGAACAGCTCGGAGGAAACGCAAGTGTGATTCTGCATAGAACTGACGTCCTTACAGTGACAGGGCTAGACAGACAGAGCGCTATCAAAGCTGTCCACACAATATCCCACAATAAATGTAGGTTGCGCTGTCAGGGAGCTGGATGTAAAGAGAACAAGTCGCCGACACGTCACATCTGACAGCGCTCATAATACAGTTATAACACGAGAGCGTGCTGGTCCCGATTAATGGACAGATTTATTCTTGCTCTGGATTATAAACCCTATCGATGCGAATGACTTGAAATATCATGTGCTGCTATCATAGATATTCTGTATACGAAAGAGAGCAGACTGGGTCAGAAACGTCTGTTGTTTTTCACAATCGATTGTGATCGGGTCTGTATAGTAGAGGCAAGCTTATGGCCTAGGGCGCGGGCAGATACGTGCAGGGGGCAGGGAGTGGGGGCTCAGTGCTCGAGACGTCCACTATTATCCCCAGTGACGACGCCAGGGTGATGCGCCAACCTCTCGACAGGCTTGCGTGCTTCAAGTGCGATCTGAGCCCGCATCTGATTAAATCGCGTTAATTTACATGTCTTCGCGCTAAGCCGCGTTCGTGACTAGCAGGCAAAGAGGCAAGAAATTAACCGGACGCATAGCTCTCGCAAACTCGGATGAACACATCGATAAAACTACATTGGGGTTCCAAAATAAAATATTCTGCAATCCCTGGCACGTACATTTATTTGTCTTGCTCTTTGAAAGAAAATCGATTAGCAATTTATCAGGGCGCTGAATTCACGGACATTATTCAGGTCTTAAAAACACGCGACATGTCTGTGACGTCAGCAAGTCGTATGGTGATGGGCTGAATGCCAACTTCCCGCGGTTTTCACCTGTGGCAATGAAACATCCCCCCTTCCCATGATGCTACCACGCATCACCAAGGTATACTTCCGGGCAGTCACATGTGACGTCATCGACGACTGTCTTCTGGCGTTACCATTCTGGCACAAAGACCTTTACATGGTATCTTAACTATTTGATTACATGCATAGCTTTATCAAACCACGGCCTGGAAGTGTGCCGTTAACTATATACGTGCCAGAACGTGAGTTCATCAAGTATGAATATTGGCCTATACATGCATGTATTTGTAAAAACGGATCAGCCGGTTGCACGAAGTAACCGAATATCGTGGTTGCGTACACCCTATGTGTGTTACAGGCTAGAAATCATCCGTCAGAGTAAATGTCGTCTCACTACTAAGTTTCAACGCGGCGTGCGAGAAACCAATGATCGTTGGTTCGAAACCCCGATTCGTCTTGATTATATTTCTATGTTTGCCAGCATTACATCCGCGATCGTAGGTTTCATTAAATGGTAAACGTCCAAGACCTGCTTCATTTCGGGCTTTCCTCTTACTTTCAGCCCACAAGCAATGATAAGAAATACTGTTCAAAGCGACGATAATGCTTTGAAACCAAAGTCACCCCCTCCCTGACTTTAGTGAACCATGAAACACAGGTACCAGTTCCTCAATAAAACCTGAACTCGGGTAAATATTTCAAGACATTCTTTTCTCGAAACTCCGAATTACGATTACGAGTGAGGTAATACTGGGGCTTAACGTCGCATTCAGGATTATTGCACTTATATAGCGACGTGCATGCACGCGCGCGCGTGCGTGTCTGCATGTAATAGTCCATGCTAATGCCGGTTTAATTGTACTTGCCCACTGAGATATCACGCCACAGTTTAACATGACGCACCATACCCGACCAGTACTTATTTTATCCCCTTAATGCCGAGCGCCAGTCAGGGAAACAATAAGTACCATCTTAACGACTTTTGGTGTATGGGTGCCGGGGATCGACCCATCGACCTTCTGCTCTCCAGACAGATGCTCTATCCGCTATACCACGGAGGCGGTTACGTGTCTCGAGTGAATAGAAATGCATATATCCGATTCAAATAGAAGTTATGTGACAAATGTCTGGCACCCGTAACGTGTTTGTTCTGGTGGAACACTTAGGATAGATTATCCGTAATTACTCGTGGCAAGACAGTTGGTCTCAACATGTGGACAGGGACTGTACATACAAACCGTCCACGCCAGAGAATAACACGTGTCGATTATCCGCCGAAATAGATTCCACTAGGCGTAAAAAGGCAAAATAGCTGTGAAAACGACACGAATGACCATCGAAAATCAGTGATGCAATCGAGATTCCCACAATACCAACATGTTTGTTTTGTGTTTAACGCTTCACTCAGCAATATTCCGGCTATATGACGGCGGTCTGTAAATAATCGAGTCTGGACCAGACAATCCAGTGATTGACATCATGAGCATCAATCCACGCAATTGGGATATGATGACATGCATCAACCAAGTCAGCGAGCCTGACCACCAGATCCCGTTAGTCGCCTCTTACGACAAGCATAGTCGCCTTTTACGGCAAGCATGGGTTGCTGAAGACCTATTGTAACCCGGATGTTCACGGGCAATACCAACATGATGTTGTAATCACACATATTAATATAGATAAGATGGCCAAAATGTGTGACCTGCATGGTTGAGTGTATATTACGATAACCATAAGTAGAGAAAAAGGTCGTTGTTCATACTTTGGACACCGTGTTTGCATGGTATTGATTCAGTTACATGTCTTTGTTTATTTGTTGGTTTACGCTTCCCACGTGAAGTCCAGTCCAACAGTCACGATGGTGTGTAAATAATCAAGTCTGGGCCATACAAACCACTGATAGATATGAACAACGTTAAAAAAAACAACTACCACAGTCAATCAAATCACCGAACCTGAAAACCCAATCCATTTTAGTCGCCTCGTGCGACAAGCGAGATTATTCTGGAAACTTAATTTATATGGGTAGATACGAGAACCAATGGTAACAAATAACTCTGGGTTTGATATGGTTGCCATGGAAACTAAACCATACATTAGATTAGAGACGATTTGAGCAGGTTTGAGAGATACCATTTGTGCATTAGAGTGGTTGCTCTTGTGGTTTGAGAGAGACAACCGAAACTTCAAAAGGTAATTCGGTAAACAAAAGATATATATGTTAGGCCCTTCTGCACAGCTTCATGAAAACAGATTGAAGAGGCCTGAATGTGACCGTTCGTTGGGTTACCTATTATCAAAAGCTCTAACATATATATCAAAGAAATAATTAGATACTTTTAACTTTCATAAAAAACACATTCATTTTTAATTCAAAGCTCTTGAACATCGCAAAAAAACAACATCAAAGACAATCCCCATCAAGATGTTCAACAGAAGAAGTAAAAAAAATGAAGCATTCACAGGCCATGATGTCGGCGACTGGGCGCCAAAGTGTTTCAAGGTAAATAGCTGCAGTGTGCATAAAGCGTGATTCGGACACCTGTCGAATGTCATCCAATAGAAAGGTAAAACCAGGCTCCGTCTTTTAACATTATTACAAACTGAACTGGTCGAATCGTTATTGTTTGAAGAACATCGTGTACGGAATCCTTCTCCCAAGACGTACTCCCATGTCGCAAACAAAACACGCAGTTATCCTACTCATACATTGTAAAATATTTTAGGAGACAAAGTGTGTTTGCATAACATATCTCCTTTCATTTCCTTATTCTCTTATGTCAATCATATTAGTGTTATATTTCCATCTCTATGGCAACCGTACAATCAGTTGGTGTTGCTGGGAGACTACAAACTTGACGAACATGTTTCACCGGCATCTATGGTGAACTGAAAACAATAACGAAGAATGCTTCAAAAACAAGCATTGTTGTTATTTAGTATTTCTAACCTTTCAAACTTCATAGAACCCGTGAAGATCCGAGGTAGAATAGGTGTTCAGCAACCCATGTTTGCCGTAAAAGGCGACTATGCTTGTCGTAAGAGGCGACTAACGGGATCGGGTGGTCAGGCTCGCTAACTTGGTTGATGCATGTCATCGATCCCAATTGCGTAGATCGATGTTCATGATGTCAATCATTGGATTGTCTGGTCCAGACTCGATTATTTACAGACCGCCATCATATAGCTGGAATATTGCTGAGTGCGGCGTTAAACAACAAACAAACAAACAAAATCATAGAACCCAGTTTGATATGCATATTTTCTATAATGGTTTAGAGGTTTGTTGACGACGATATATATCGATGTTTCTGCTGGTGGACTCAAGTCTCCGAGTTTCCCAATAAGCTCAGTAGCATTTATGAATTACCTGGCGTCAACTACAAAAGAAATATTTTGGTTGAGACATTAAAACTGCCCGGATGCCTTCCAAAACGAAGATATTTCTTAAACGTTTCTCTTTACTTATAAGCAGCAGAATCTCTGCACTTGTTCATAGCAGACGTAATACATCAAAATTAACATACCGTTTTTATAAAGTTTCAACATAATCGGTAAATGCGCTATCGTGTCACTTGATTTTCTGGTCATAACTGGATTATTTCCATGCCGCCATAGTATGGCAGGAGTACTGCATGTGCGGTGAAGTGAGGTGAAATTGGGTTTAACGTCGCGTCCAAGATTATTGCACTTATATAGCGACGTGCATGCACGTGTATGTGTGTGTGTGGCTGCTTGTACTAGTCCGGACTGATGCCGATTTATAGTGCTAGCTCACTGAGATACCATGCCGCAGTTTAACATGAATACCCCACTCAGACACAGTATACTGACTCCGAGCCGACCAGTCCTTGCTTTAGCCCCTTAATGCCGAGCGCCAGACAGGGTAACAACAAGTACAATCTTTTAACGTCTTTTTGTATGACGCGGCCCGGGATCGAACCCTGGACCTTCCGCTCTCCGGGCGGACGCTCTACCACAAGAACTGCATGTGCGGCGTCAGACAACGAACATGCACCTTTTCAAGCACATTGTATGGCTAGCGGGTGCTACCGGTATAGCAGGACATGCTCGTGAGTGAGTATGGTTTTACGCCTATTTTAGCAATATTCCAGCAATATCACGGCGGTGGACACCAGAAATGGGCTTCACACATTGTACCCATGTTGGGAATCGAACCTGGGTCTTCGGCGTGACGTGCGAACGCTTTAACCACTAGGCTGCCCCATCTCCCCTTAACCTTTCTGCCAACACTGGTGTCATCACTGACTTTCAGTGATCCGTTCAAATAAGTTTCACCGCTATTTGCATTTTATACCTA